GATCAAAAGTGCCATTCTCAGGCCACTGGGACCTGTTATCTAAGCGGTATTGAGGCCAGGCAGTAGCCGTTTTGGCCTACCCAAGTCCCCAAGGCCGAGGGTCTTAATGTGCTTTAGAAGACAGCCCAGGGGGATGTCCCAAGGAGGGCAAGACTGAGTGGCGCCCATTAGGTGTCTGGAAATTAAAAGATGAGGACAGAAGTTCCCAAGAAAAGGGGATAGGGAAGGAGCGTCCTCGCTCCTTAGTCCCTTTCCACTACTGAGGGCTAACCAAGCCCAGGGGTGAACCATTCACCAGTCAGACGTCTCCAAGGTGGCAAGGGTTCGGCCTTCCCGGAAGGCCAGAGGGTGCTCCTGACCTAGCACTAGGATTTCCCGTAGGGGTCCCGGAGCCCAACTGACAGGAGACCCGACAGGGAGACCCTTGACTCACTCGTTGAGAGAATCAGGCCAGTGTTGAATGTGGCATCAGCAATGGCAAAGGACTGAAAGCCCCGGAGATGTGTGCCCCGGTTCGGCAACTGCAGGTCCGGGAAGGGGTGATCAGGAGTGCAGCTCTGGAGTCCGCAGGTCCTGATAGCGCCACCTCCCGGGTTTCAGTACCAGAATGAAAGGGTCGCCAAAGAAGGGGACACACATGGATGTTCAGGCAGCAAGCCTTTATTGGGGTGGCAGTCTGCAGCCTGCTGGGACTGACTCACAGAAGGGAGATCAGCCACAGTATGGGCTGAGCTGAAAGCTTATATGGGGTTTTGCAGGTGGGAGAGCACTAGTCCAGTGGTGGGGGTGGGTGATTGGGGCTGGGGTATGTAGCAACAGGTTTCGGTTGGGAGAATAGAGTAACCATTTTCAAGAAGCCCCTATCTTACTGGAACATCTGACCATGAAACCGGTGCGGCAGAAAGTCCTTAACTAGGCAGAGTCACTAACAAAGGGAGGTCATGCCTTAGTAATGCAGAAGTTCCCTGTTCCCTGTGGCCAAAGTGGGGTAAGGACAAAGGAGAGGAGGGGACTTGCTCTGTGAGGGCTCTGAAGTACCTAACAGGGACAAGACTTTTTTGGGGGGGAGACAGAGTCATGCTATGTAGCCCAAGCTGGTCTCAAACTCACAGCAGTCTTGTCTGAGCCTTCTGAGTGCTGAGATTACAAGCCTGCACCACCATACCTGGCTATTAAAACAGTGTATGGAGGGGTTTTGTTTCCAGGAACCAAGGTAGCCCTAGAAGAAGACACTTTTCCTGAAATTCATTCCTTCAGCAAATATTTATTGAGGACCTAATGTGGAGGATACAGGGAAGAACAAGAAAGATAACCCTGTTCTCTTGGAGTGAACATTCTCCAACAGTTTGGGATTGTGATTGCAATACAAAATATTAATAGCAAAAATTATTTACATATATAAGCAAACACTCTAACCCTCAGAAGAAGTACAAATACAACGTTTTGTTATAAACACTCTATAACTCAAAACTAGCTGGAGACAGTCACATTATATAGAAAAGTTGGTAATCAGAATCTGCAACTAAATATGGAAACATCAAAAAGAAATACCAAAACTACTACAGTAAACAATGTGAGGAGACACTGCAATAGACAGGGATGTAACAGCCTTCTAATTAGAGGGGAAAAAATCTTTCTGCTAAGCTGGATATAGTGGCCTCCACCTGTGATTTTAGCACTCAGGAGGCTGAGGTAGGATGATCCTGAGTTTGAAGCCTATCTGAGCCACCCTGGAATACATAACAAGACCCTTCTCCCCGCCCCCCCAAATATATATATATATATATATCTGCTAAGTACAAGACAGACAAACTTACTATTTAGAATTATCTTCTTCTAATTACTTTCTTCTAAATGTGAAACTGGGGAGCAGATAGTATTAAAGGGTCAAGATATTGGCAAATTCTTTTGTTTTTTAAATAGCAAATAATTTATTGATTCATTTTAGATATACATGATGATAACACTCATCATAGGGATTTGCACCTGTACATGAATACATCCCACCTCTTTTTTCCCATTCCCCTTCAAGTCTCCTCCCTTCCCTATGTACAAAAAAACCTTTTATGTTGTGTAACAAAGCAAATTAGTTTCTAATTCAATGTAGACTTTTGTAGCTATTGAACAGGTTAAAGTAGACCTGAGTTTATAGATACGTGTTGGAAAAAATAAAATTTTTTCTTTTTTTCTTTTTTGAGACAGGGTCTCACTATGCAGTCCAGGCTGGCTGCCAACTCACAGTGATCTTCCTGCCTCAGCCTCCCCAGTGCTGGGATTACAGGCATGTGCCACCATGCCTGGCCAAAAATGACTTCTTGAAGATAATTTTTGAGAGCTTGGAGTTTTGAGGGCTAATCCTAGAGAAAAGCAAGAAAAAAAAATAGAAAAAAAGCGGGTGACAGTGTGAACTGGTGCTATGAGAAGCTGGGTTTGTTTGCAAAAAGAAAGAAAAATCTTTAAGTCAGAACTTTCACAAGTTCATATCAACCCAAAGCCTGTAACTCAGCAAATACTCTACTTTCAGTTACTGTGATTTAACTGGCCTTGCTGCTATCAGAGGCAAAATTGTCCTTTTGTGCACTGGATCCCATCTCACCTTCTCAAGGACACCACTCCACATCCCTTTTACATGTCTTTCCCATCAGGATGTGTAATACTGCCATTTCTTCCATCTTAGTTTTTATTTTTATTAGTACATGCTTGCAGCAGTCTTCCACCTTAAAAATTGCAAAAATCTTGACCTTACCTCTTTTCTAGCTACTGCATTTCTCTACCTCTTCCTCTTTACAGAAAAACTCAAAAGGGCTGTCATACCACGCTGTCTCCAAATTCCTTTCCCACCTTCTTAATCCCTCTCGTTAGGATTCTCCCAACTTCCAGTTAATAATCAAATTCATCAATGACCTTCACTTTGCTAATTCTATTGAAGTTCAAGGCTTTGGCTTTTAAACTATTTTGCAACATTAGATGCACTTGGTCACTCCCTCTTCCTTTAAACACTTTTCCCCCCTTACAACACTTTCTAGATCTCCATACTACTCTTGGTTTTCCTCCTACCTCTCACCTCTCACAGTCACCCACTCTCAGTCCTTTTTTTTGAGACAAAATATTGTTATGTAGTTCAGGGGCTGGCTCTGAACTCACTGTGTAGGCCAGACTGGGCTTGAACTTGCACTGATCCTCCTGCCTCAGCCTCCCAAGTGGTGGGATTACAGGCATGCACCACCATGCCCAGCCTGAGCCTAGGTCTCTTTTTCCTCTTTTCCTCCAAGTTGTGAGCACTTGACACTTCTCTTTCCTATGACTCCTCCCTCAGTTATCTACCTCATTTCATTCATAAGCAGATGGCTCTCAAATGTGTGTCTCTGGCCTGGACCCATCCTTTGAATTCAAAACTATCCATCTATCCATTAAACATCTCCACTGGACATCTTCACATTTCAAGTATTAATGTTAAAGCCAACCTCCTGCACCTCCTATAATCATTCCCATGTCAGAATCTAATTCATTCCTTCCAACTGGTCAAAGCCAAACACTGAGAACATACTTGAAATATGTCACTAGCGCTCATTACCTCAGCTTGTAATCTGTCACTCATTTTTTCTCTTACTAAACTTGTGAGAGCCTCTTTGCTTTTGAGGCCCACCCAAAAGAACATTTTAACACTTAAGTAGGAAGTCATTTCTCTGCTCAAAACCTCATGGTGGCCTGTGTCATTCACTTGGTCTTTATTAGTGGTCTATAAGGCCCAAGCTGTGTCTGGCTATCTCTTGCTTCTCTAATCTCACATTCTACCACCCTCTCCACCTCAGTTTCCATCCCAGCTACCCTGACTCCCTTGCTATTTCTTAAACATGCAAGTGGGCAGGGATTTGGCTCAGTGGTTCCTCCAAATGCCTTGCAAATGCAAGGACCCGAATTTGATTCCCCGTACCAAAAACAAACAAAAACCACGCAACCAAGTTTTCACCTCAGAATCTTTGATGTTTCAGATGTTTTCTGAAGTGATCCTGAAATGATCTTCCAGTTATTCCCATGGCTTGCTCTACTGATTTTGAGTGTTAGGTGAAATGAAGGGTTGAGATTACACAGTATAAAAAGGGTAGACCAAGTCAATCTGATAATTCATAAACTAAACTGACTAAAAAAAGATTTTTAAGTGCTATCTTAGAAAACAAAATAGAATCCAAATGACTTTTTCAGAAGTCATGCTTCATCCTATCATAAAAAGCTCTTTAAGCATGTAATTTATAAGATTCACCTTGTATATGTGGTTTTATTATGTCCCAGTTGAGTATTCACTACCAATGTTTCCAGAAACCATCAAAATTTTCTTTCCTTCAAAATATATTTTCTACCAAATACATTGATATGTGTCCTGACATTCAGGTTTTTCAAAAACACAAGACACAATTATGAAATGTTGATAATGCTTGCTAGATACATGTCGATATCATGTTAGAGCTATAATTTTTTATTATTTAAGTTACTTTCAGGTATTCAAAGAATATACTGAAGGTTTTTTTCCCTCTGATAACATACTTTATGCTACCAGGTTTAGTGTAATGGCCAAATCTTGGGTCTTTCCAACGGACTCAATCCCTATAGATTCTGGATGGTAAGAATACAAAACTACCAAAACAAGCTGGGCAAGATGGTGCAAACCTGTACCCAGCACCTAGGAGGCTGAGGTAGAACTGCTGTGAGTTCAAGGCCAGCCCAGGGTACACAGTGAATTCAAGGCCAGCCTAAACTACAGAGGAAGACCATAACTCAAAAACAAAAGCAAAAAAAGAACATACTACCAGAACTGAAGCAAAATGGGCTGAGAGTATACATTACTGTTAAGAGTGGTTGCCTAGCATGTGTGAGGCCCTGGTTTCTAGACCTAGCACCAAACAAACAAAACCCCTGAAACAAAATGGCAATAGCACCAATAAAATGACAGTTAAAGACTAAGGACTAATTAGAGGATAGGATATATATAAACAACAATCAGATGAATGTTTTACTGTTAACATTTATTGATGGGATGGATAATACAGATTGAGAAACATACCTGACAGCAAGATATCAAACTGAGAGCCAGACTATAAAATGCACACATCTTTCAAATTTTTAAAAAATTTTTTTGAATTTTTTACAAAGAGCCCTTATGATAATGGTCACTTACATCCTATCATTCATATAACAGTAACAGCAGGAGAGATCTCAAGAGTAGCATCCAAAACTGAGGTGCCCCAAGGAGAACAGAGGCATCTGCAGAATATGCTGAGAAAGGACTCTCAAAAACAATACAAAGAAACAGACGAAAATCTTACCACAAAATTGTACCTGAGTGACATAAACTTGTAAAGTGTTTGACTTTTTGTTTTTCCTTTTTGCTCTTTGGTCTAATACGAAAATGGAGTTTTAAGTGTGTGAAGTACACACAGAAACCTAGGTTAACCCTAAACTAGGCGGCTGCATTCTTTGGGTGCTTAAGCTAGACAGCATGTCTACTTACAACCAATCCCATTATGATCAACGACTGATCAGTTCACTGAAGAGTTCCCAGTTACCTAATGGAGATATACTTGCTCTGGCTTCAATTAGCATGCTGTCAAGCATCCCTCTCCAAGCTTACCGTGGCAACACAAAACCAAGTCTCTTCATTCAACCATGAACACCCTCATAAAGGGGAAGAGTAGACACTGCTTTTTAGTAAACATTATTCTTTCACTTCCCTCCCAATGCCAAGATCATATTAAAAACATTAGAAACATTAAAATGGAGCACTCTCCCACTTAAAAAATAATTCTGATCCAGACCACTCTGTCAGGTAAGATTATAGTACCATGCTTGTTTCAAACTCACATCCACAGAGGGATTAAAAAATAAAACTTGACAGTGTGGTACAACATTAGAAACCATCAGAAGCCAAAACTCATCAGAACCATGGGTTATTTCTCACCATCTGATGGACTTCACAGACCACTTAAATTGTCCCAAACTCAAGAGACTAAAATTTGTATTCCAACTTTAAGATGTTCTAGCTTCTCCCCTTTCCTAGTATTAGTACCAAAATAATCTGTCAACAAAATATTTTTAAAAAATAGTTCCCAAAATAAAGGAAACACAGATGTTTAAAACCCAACCATGCTAGCATAGGGCCCCTCAAATTGTTTGTCCAGAAGCAAGGTATGAGTGGTGTATGCATTTTCAATATGAAGAATTAGGTAGCAGAGGCTTAAGGAAACCCAGCAGGATTATTACCGTGATTTTATTGCTATATCCAAATCCACCGCTGTTTGAAACTGGAGATCCTAAATTCTTTCTATCAACATCAGTTCAGCCAATACAGAACTATGTAGGATACGCTAAATCAAACCACTAATGCTTTTTCATTTAAAAGACATGGAAATACATTGATTCAAGAGTGAGAAGACTAGACTAATACCTAAGCATTTTCTAAAGCCAAGAAGTATAACTGATATCTCAAAAATCACATTGGATTTAGATTAATGCTTCGCTAGAGCTCAGCCAACAGCAACACAAATATCTGATTAAAAGCCCTAAGGACAATCCACGGGTATTTGTTTCTGCCCACATGAGAGTCAAGCAAAATTTGAGGAATGACATTTACAAAACTTACCATCATCACTCATCCTTGACAGTCAAAATTAAAAGAAAAAAAGCCATCTTCATTAGACTTTGTATATATAAACCCCATTTGTCACTCTTGAAGGTATGAAGGTAGAAAAGACACAACGTAGAAATCACACAACCCTCAGAAATCTTATTAAGTTTATAGAATTTGGACACAACACATGGTAGCTGACAGGTACATCTGCTAACCCAAAGATAATGAATGCAGCACCTCAGACAGAGCACGTAAGCAGGTTCATGACATGCATAGATCCACAATGATCAACTAGTGCAAAGACTAGACTTCACAACATAAAGCAGCTTAGGCTGCATACTGTTTTTTAGTAAACACTTTTTCCTCATTCATTCCTGACAAGTTCTAAGGAAGAACATGGAGAACCGCTATGACATCAAGTGGCTATGTGCCTCTGTGGTATAGGTGCATGTGATTAGAAAATGTGACACTGATGAGAATAATTAAAAGCCAGAAGAGACATTTTCACAATCAAGCCAGTGATCTCAATTACACAAAGGTATAAATGCAAAAAAAATGGCATATTCTCTTTTGTGAAGGATGGGAAACAGACACTATCAAACAAAATCTAAACAAATACAAAGCCTAAATTTAGTAAACATAACCACACATCCACCAGTTAGCTGGAACAAAACAGAAACTATCAAGAGGGAAATGTCATCTTGAAAAGTTAAATGACATTCAAGATGTATCACAGATTTATTGGTCAGCAGAGAGCCTCTTATTCTACCCGGCAATGGTAGGCACTCCACATACCCAAATATGCAGAGAGGCAGTGCACTAGCTCACCTTCAGTTAAAGTTTAGTCCTTTTTCACAAATTCCTTCCTATATTATATTAGGTCAATACATCAATAGTAACTGCTACTTTTTTCCCCCAAACTGTTCAGTTTTTTCCCCAAAACTGTTCCTGGCAAGTAGTAGCACAAGTACTTTCTATCTCCCTAGAATTTCCAATGAAAAGAATTCAACTTCTCCCTAAAGACTATTTGGCGTGATAGAAGCTGCATTCGAAACAAGACAAATTCAAATTGCACTATCTTTTCTATTGCATGTGCGCACACGCACACGCACACACACACAAAAGCGCACACACACACACACACAAACATCAAATGCTCTGTGGCTAGGTGGCACTTTCAGTCAACTTGGCTTAGAATTCTTTCTAGCCAAGGTTTCCTGAAAGCTTTCCTCCCTCATCAAAAATGTTTACTTCTAATGTCAGGGATGAGCTCCCATAACAGGGCTCTTGATCTTTTTTTTTTTTTTTTTTAAAGAACTCTTAGTAATCTCCTTAAGAATCTCTGTTTAGACTCTAAAGCCACCAGTGGAGGACAGTCTAAACATTACAGTATCCATTGGCTAGGCTTGATCACTCCCAGCACCAGTACTCTTAAATTCATGAACTCAGATCTTTGAAGTTATATAGGCCACAAACACAGATGCAATTGTTTGCCTTCAGATACACAAATAAAAAGCAAGGCTTAAATTCATAATGTAATTTAAAATACAATGTACTAAGAATTCCAAATCACAATTTCATTGTTTTCTGAATCCCCTAGCTCCTTGGCTTCTCCCAGAACTATTGTCATGTATGGTATGAGGTTTCATAGGCAGGATGTATATAGCACATCCCCCTTCCCTTCAATGACCCAGGACTGCTCACATTTGAACACTTTCCCAATGCCTAACTAGAAAAGATCCACCCAATTTTGTAGGGCAGAAGCTGACCTTGTTCTTTTAATTCTTCTTCCCTAACTCCACCTCCCTCTTGCACTAAAATGAAAAAGGGTAAAACGGCAGTTCTCATAATGGAATTAATAGCCAGGTCATTGGCTGCACCTGTCCAAACTAAAAATTGGAGGGCTACCATTCAATTACATACAAAGAAAGAGAGAATTTCCATGTCAAATACATGCCTCCTCCTTCATGTTCTCAAGACCAACCATATTCTCACTAGCAGGCTGTTGGAAAGTAAAAATACTAAAGAATGAGGTGGGGATGGGAGATAAAATATGATTTTTAAACACATCTTAAAAACACATTCACGCTTACATACGCTCTTAAGGTCTCAACACTTCAAATGTCCTGAGCCTACTTCAGAACTCTCAGCCAGAAGCCTACCCTCCCACCCACCCTGCACGCATTCCCACCCTCTGTCCCACCCACCAGGAGTCACTGCTATGTACCTCATACACACAGCAAAATCCCTATCCCCTTCCCAATTATATAAAAAAACCTAAACAGATAACTTACTTTCATTAAGTTATTTTTTTAAAGTCTCTTAAAAGATTTTGACGTTTAAATACTTCCTCTCTTCTGATATATTAAACATCAAAAGAATCCACAATTCTCTGATAAACCCCCCATGTTTCAGTTCTTGCAAGAAGAGGGAAGGTAACTATTCCAATCAACCTAATCAGGAGGTGGAGAGGCCAAGAATAGAGAAAGTGTTCTTAATCCTTCACAGTTTCAACACATTCCCACCTTTCTAACGCCAGTAAAAACAAATAAAATAGTTAAATGTATGAGGCAGCACTTAATAACCAAGGCTCTCCACCACCCTCCCACCTATGTTTCAGTATCAATTTATTCTCTAGTCCAAGAAAGGTGATATATTTCATAAGGGAAGTAATTCGAGTCCACTATCAGTAGTCAAAAAAAAAATGTGGTTTTTAGAGAAGTTTTTTTTCCTTCTTTTTCTTTTCTACTTAGGAAGAGGTGGAAGTGGTGGAGGAGGTTCTGATGGTAGAGGTGGTGGCCGGGGTTTGTCTGTATTGCCAGATCTGGAGGAGATTCCACTAGCCCGTGGATTCAGATATTCACTGTATGACTGAACAAATTCAAATGCAGGAGGCTGAGTGGGCTGGACACCTTGGGCACTGAGCAGGGAGTGAAGCATATTCACAGTATCTTGATAGTCTATAGACTGGGCTGTGTTGTGACCATTGGCCCCAGTGGGGCCTTTATCCAGTTTCATGTGAGAAACCCGAGTTTTACAGCTGGGCTGTGAAAAGGGAAGGCCACTTGTATCTGAGCTATGCCCAGGCAACTGGGCCATTGTAGGAAGAGGGAAAGAGTAATTTAAAGAGGATTTAGTACTCTTGGCAATCTTGGCTGGATGATCAAATACTGCCCCTCCAGTCTCTTCAGGGGGGCCCCTTTTACGAGTAGAACTGGAGGAGGAGAAAGAACTAGACAAGCTATAGGTTTTGTGTGCTAAGGTGCTTGCCTGGCTGCTGCTATGTTTTGGATCACCTGGACGTTTGTTCGCAGTACCAGCTGGAAGCTGTGAGTGAGAGTGCTTGTGTGAATGGTGATTATGATGATGATGATTGGAAGGGTGAATCTTGTGCTTTTCTCTGTGCTCTCTGCTCTTTGTGACACTGTCCTCTACAGAATTGTGCTTATCAGCTGGAGTGTGGACCTTAATGCGCATTTTTATCTCCTCTGGTTTTGAAGAAGGAGCTTTATCCCCACCAACCACTGGGAGTCTCATTTTGAGAGCTGTTTTGTCACTCTTTTCCAGAAAAGGATGTTCAGGGTTTTCTGTACCCTTTATTGGCATTTTAAGAATGACTGAAGAATGGCTATCATGGTGAGACAGAAGATTCTGGGCAGCATATGCATACTGTGACTTCACATTAGCTTCCATGTTTTCCAGTTGCCTCTTCTGGGCTGCCAGCTCTTCTGCGTGCTTTGCACGGTATTCTTTCAATGACACTTTAGCTGATGGCACACTCTTATTACTCTGCTTCTGGGAAATAAATGCATTTGAGGCATCTTGTTTCAAGGAATGATCCATCCCCATAAGTGCTAAATTCTCACTAGTCCGATGACCCTGAGCAGGTTCTAGTTTAAAAGGTTGAGAGGACAGCCAACGCTCGCCCTGCAATATCTCCACACTGGATAAGTTGCTTGATGACTCTCCAGAGACTGGAAGGGAAGGCACTGCACTTGTAGTAGAAGTAGTTGACATGCTCATTAAACCTGCAATAGTTGAGTCTGAAGAGCTCTGGGAGATCATATTGAGGATTGTCTGCTCAGAAGTATTTTCATCTGCTCCTCGGTCATCTGCTTTTGTTTTCTTGGCAGGCTGGCATGCCTAGAACAAAGCAAGTAACATCTCTTCAGGTGACTTATTAAATGGAAATACATTAAGATAAGCAGATTGTACTTGCACGAAGTTCTGGAAAGGTTACCCTAACATGAGAGCCAATAAACATTGGCTTCAGGAGATTTTAAAACTGTCCCTTAAGTCATAGCAATCTACACTGTTACAAGGCAAAAGCAACCAAAAAAGAATTTGTGCTTATCTAAAAATAATTCATAAATATTAAAGTGACTGCTTATGATTGTAATACAATGTAAAATTCTACAAATTTTGGTGAGGTTTTATGTTTGTTTTGTTTTTTCGGTACTGAGGATCAAATTCGGGACCTTGTGCTTGCGAGGCAGGCGGCAGAACCACTGAGCTAAATCCCTGGCCCTAGTGAGGTTTTATGTGAAAGTGAAAGATGAACTATGTGCTCTCAAGTCTACTTCTAACTCTAAGCTACTACCAGACAAACGTTTTCTTCAGCTCACTCAACTCAAAGAAAGAAATAAAGCTTCTCAATCTGGAATTATGAGAAAGGACAGAAGTTTTTTTTGTTTTTGGTTTTTTTAGATAGGGTCTCACTACTTAAGTTTCAGCTAACCTTGAACTCACTAGGTAGTCCAAGCTGGCCTAGAACTCACAGTGATCCTCCTGCCTCTGCCTCAAGCATGTGTGTGCGATCATGCCCAGCAAAGCAGGAGGAAACTAAACAGGCTAAGTATATACTCTACACTGAGCCACACTCCCAGTCCCAAGGGAATTTTTCTAATGTATTTATTTTTGTGGTACTGGCAGTAAAACCCAGCACCTTGGCACTGAAATACTTCCCCCGTGTAGTTTATTATTTTTAATTTTGAGACAAGGTTTTGCTAAGTCCCCAAATTGCTCCAACTAAGCTTGAATTTGTAATCTTCCTGCCTCAGCCTCCCAGAGTGCTGGGATTATAGGCGTGTGCCACCACACCAATCAGGAAATATTTTTCAACCATCTAACACTGGAAAAAAAACCATAAGGAATCATTCCATTATTCATAAATAAGACTTTCAGGGGGCTTGAAGGGGGTAACGAGATAAAATAAAATTTATTAAAATGTATTAACAAAACCAATAAATAAATAATTAACTTTCAAATATATCTGAAATATAGCCAAGCATGCTGGTGCACATATAACCCCAGCACTCAGGTGGCTGAGAGGCAGGAGGATCATCACAAGTTCTAGGCCAGCCTGGGCTACATAGTGAGTTCAAGGGCAGCCTGAACTATACAGCGAGACCATTTCGAAAAATAAATAAATAAATAAAAATTGAAATACAAATTTAGACTGTAAACTGTATAAAAACAAAATGCTAAAACTCATTTTTAAAGTAGGTAATGTCAAAGATAATAAAATTATGCCATACATGGTGTCGCATGCTTATACTCACAGCACTCAGAAAGCAGAGGCAGAAGGATGGTGAGTTCAAGGCCAGCATGGGCTACATAGTGAGTTCAAGGTCAGTTTAGAGCATATAGTAAGACCCTGTCTCTCTCTCTCTCTTTTTTTTTTTTTTTGGTACTGGGGATCAAACTCGGGTCCTTGCGCAAGAGCCAATATTCTTGTTTCATTCCCAATAGTCTCTACATAGAAAATATTTGAGCAACATTGCTGACCAAATAATCATATTATAGGCATTCCACAACACATAGCAAAACCTGCTATCACCCACAAGCACTGACTTCTGGGGCAGTTTCCAAGCTATGAGGCCAAGTCATGATTACTGCATAACTATGGAAAGGGAAATTTCAAACCTAAGGCACATATCCTATTCTGGTATATTCACTGGTACAATCAAAGGAAGGAAAAAGCTGATGGCCTAATTCTTACCCTCCAATTCCAAATGCGTTTGAGCCTGTTGGGAGTCTTCTCCAGAATCTGTAGAAATTCATGTGTCAGTTCTGAAAATAAAACATTCAAGAAAGACTGAGAGACAGTGGTAATGAAACAAGAATAACCTCAACTAACTCACTATTTTCAACTAAAGTCACCTTTGGGCAGGTAAGTGACAGATGAAGAGCAAGTGTTTTTCAATGTCCCTTACTCTAAAACTTACCATCTAAAAGTTCCAAGGTCACAGTGGCGTCAACATATTCCCACCAGTGCTTTCCATCAGTTGAGACTGGGATCTCCCAGTTGGACCACTTGCAAGCCAGATGGATGCAGACACAGGCCACTACAGGAGGTGTGTACTGCAGGCTAAATGTGGTCAAATGCAGGCTGACACCAGAGGGAGGGAAACAGAGTGTCATGAGCTCTCAGTTCTAAATCCAAAGCTAAAACTCTCCATTATTTAAAAAAATAAAATAAAAATAAATAAAGGAGAGCAAGAAGAGCAAGAATCATCCTTCTCTGATTCTATACTCAAAATAACCATTTTCCTATTAACCCACTTCTCAATCTAGCATTTCCAAATTTCCTGACTGTATCATTCAATCTACACAATGAATAAGGAACCCTCCCAAAATTTTTTTACTTCTAGACCAGTATCCAAGCCCAGAAGTCAGTGTTTATTACCCAATATCCCAAAAATAAACTCAGAATGAGGAAAATTGTAAGTTGTTTTCTGTTTTTAATCACTAAATCAATACTTAAGGAAATATCCTAAAAGTTGTCTTTTGTCGATCACAATTCTGATCTATTTAATATAATAAACAATCACTCTTTCAAGCACAAATATGGTTTTTTTTTTGGTACCGGGGATCGAACTCATGTCCTTCCACTTTCAAGGCAGGTGGCAGAACCAGAGCTAAATCCCCAGCCCCTGCCTGCATAAATATGTCTGATTGGTGGTTTACTTGAAAAATTTCTCATGTCAGGCTATAAAACTGAACTTCTTAGCCCTGAAAGTTATTAGTTATCTTTGGCTTCTATAAACAAACTATAGTGGAGAACAGAGATGAAAGCAAGTCATTTGATACTACAAGTTTATGTGCTAATTATTTTTTCTAAAAAGGAAGAAGGGCTGGGGATTTAGCTCAGTGGTTTCGCCACCTGCTGCGCAAGCACAAGGACCCGAGTTTGATCCCCAGTACCAAAAAATAAAAATAAATAAAATAAAATAAAAAGGAAGGAAAATATTACAACTCTTCATACCCACAAATGCCCATTTGTTTGGACACAAAGGAAGAAAAAAAAGTCTTAAAAAATATAATTATTGCAAAATCCTCCAAGTTAAATGTTTTTCGGTCACTATAAATAAGCCCTAGATTTACACAACCTTTCAGAACTGTGTTCTTGGGTATTTTAAAGCAAAGTAACATACAAAATTGGACAGACTATCAATCACTAAATATTTATAGTACTAAATAATTATATCACCTTAGCAAATTAAAAAGCATCAAGAGGACAGGGATGTAGCTCAGTAGTGATGCACCTGCCTGGCAAGTACAAGGTCCTGGCTTGGTTGGGGGGGGGGGGGGGGCGTGGGCATGCACGGGCACCAAAAACCACCAGGAAATTTAAGGTACAAGATGAAAATCGTATAGAAAAAAAAACAACAAACATTCACCAGAGAACCGTCTGTAACATACTACATTAAATATTTCCATGCCCGGGAGTTTGGATTCTAGTTTAGTAAGTCATTCTATGTATCCCAGAAAAGGTAACTATGCTAATTCAAGTAGTCAGTCCTTAAAGACAATAAATACATAAATAAAATATAAACCTGTTGGTTGCCATGAAATAAGACGTCTGTGCTAAGTCCTTGCTTGCTAAAAAAAAAAGAAGAAAAAGGTTAGTTCTATTCATCCTCAGGAAATATTCAGTAAACACTTATTATTTGCAAGGTATTCCTACTAGACTGGTAAATGAGGCAGTAATAGTGCCCAATCACCTTATGTTTACATTCTACCGAAGAGGGGCCAGCGATTTAGCTCAGTGGTTCTGCACCTGCCTCAAAAGCACAAGGACCTGAGTTTGATCCCTGGTACCAAAAAAAAAAAAAAAAAAATACTGAAGCTACACTCTACCAGAGAAATAATCTTTTGGGAGGGTGAGGATTGAACCCAGAGACCCCACATGTGCTAAGCACATGCTCTACCACTGAGCTATTATACTCTTGGCCCCTAATGATTTTTTTTCCTAATGATTTCTAATATTAATGTTAATAAGTATACTGCATGGGCCAGGGATTTAGCTCAGTGGTTCCACCGCCTGCCTCACAAGCACAAGGACCCGAGTTCGATCGCTGGTACCAAAAAAAAAATAATAATAATAATAATAATTATATTGCTGCCAGACCAGAGACTCACATTTTCTTCTACACACCAAGTATTGGAGGTTCTTGTTTAAAATGCAATTCCTGGGCCTGCTCTCCAGAGTTTGATTTGAGTGTGCTTGGAGAAGCACCCAAGTTTTGTTTTGTTTTTTGGTGACGCTAAGGCTCAAATCCAGGGCTTCAAGCCTGCTAGGCAAGCATTACCAGTGAGTTACATCTCCAGGGCAAGCACAAGAATCTTTTTAAGATAAGATTTTACTGTGTTGCCAGGTTGGCCTAAACTTTGACCTCAAAATTCTCTGAAGGCAAGATCGGAATCTAGCTGGGCATGGTGATGCACACCTGTAGTCCCAGCACTCAGGAGGCTGAGGCAGGTGGATCACCAGGAATTTGAGCCAGGCCTGAATTACATAGCAACAGCTTGTCTCAAAAACAAAAAACAAAAAGCAAAAAAGAGAGATTTTTAATTGACTGGCCTGTGATTTAATGCCCAAACTATCAATTAAAATAAATAGCTTAATATATTACAGCATATTGAAAAACACATTCCTCTTTCCAAAATAATCCCATTGTAGATGACAAAGTAATTTTTATCTTCTTTAGAACTTAGTCTTTTTTTATTTTCTTTTTCTTTCTTTTTTTTTCCTTGAGACAGGGTCTCACTACATAGCCCAGGCTGGCTTCAAACTCACAGTAATCCTCCTGCCTCTGCCTCCCAAGTGCTGGGATTGCAGCCATGTGCCACCACACCTGGCAGAACTTGGTCTTTTAAAAAATGACATATAACCATATCTTTTAACCCTATCCTTGTTCAATGTAAATATTTCAATGCTTTCAAATATAAAGAATTTAGAAATACTGGGAAATTTCGTATGAAACCCACATTATTACAATGTAAAATAAGGCCAATTATCAGTATCAATTTGGTCTACAAAACTTTAAAGGCACCTAAGTGTACAAGGGTGCCCAGATTTTTTTTTTTTTTTGGTGTTGGAGACTATATCCAGGGACTGCACATGCTAGGCAAGTGCTCTGCTACTAAGCAACACCTCCAGCCCCAGATATTATTGACACTACTGTTTAAATGCAATAAAACGGACTGAGGGCTGAGGATTTAGCTCAGTGGTTCTGCTGCCTGCCTCAAAATGCCTCGAAAGCCCAAGGTCCTGAGTTCAATCCCCAGTACCAAAACAAAAAGAAATAAAAGGGACTGAGGATCTAAGCTCAGTGGGTGAACTACTTCCTAGCATGTCTGAGGCCGTAGGTGTGATCTCCACTGCAAATAGAAAAATAATTCTACTGGGCATGGTGGTGCATGTCTATAATCCCCGCACTTGAGAGGCTGAGGCAGGATCACCATGAGAGAGGCCAGCCTGGGCTACATACTCAGTTCAAGGCCAGCCAGAACTATCTCAAAAAAAAAAAAAAGACCCTATCTCAAAAAAAAAAAAAAAATTGTTACAATTATCTCACCAGGTGTGGTGGCAACATGCATGTAATTTTAGCACTCCTGAGGCTGACACAAGAGCGTCAAAATTTGAGCCCAGTGTGGCAAATTTAGTGAGAAGCTGTCTCAAAAAAACCCCAAAAACCCAGGGATATAGCTCAGTACAAAAACCTTAGATTCAATGTCCAGTGAAACAAAAACAAAAAAAGACCATCTAAAAGGCCTGTAATCTGCTTTAAGATTAAAATAAGGTCTCACTCTCAAGACTTCCTTAAAACTGCCATTGGGGGGCCGAAGATTTAGCTCAGTGGTTCTGCCTCTTGCCTTGCAAGCACAAGGACTCGAGTTCCATTCCCAGTACCAAAACAAAACAAAAAAAACCCTCCTATTGAATATGACCTGGTGACTTTTCAAACATCCTCAAAAGGTTAATTCTCTTTAAAAATCTACAGATCAGGCCAGGGATTTAGCTCAGTGGTTCCACCGCCTGCCTCGAAAGAGCAAGGAACCGAGTTCGATCCCTGATACCAAAAAACAACAACAACAACAAAAAAAAACAAAAACAAAAACTCTATAGAGACTGGGGCCTGGGATTTAGCTCAGTGGTTCCGGTGCCTGCCTTGCAAGTGCAAGTTCCCGAGTTCAACCCCCAGTACAAAAAAAAAAAAAAAATCTAGATTAATGCTAAGAACCCCAAAAGGACAACTCCAAGCCAGTACGAAGCATTGTAATTTAAGACAACTGGGCATTTCAATTCAACTTTTGACCAAAGCAGCTGTGTTATGCATTTTACACAGTAAGCTAGAGACTGAATAATAAAACAATCTAAGACAATCATTTCAAGTTGGGATAACTTACCTCGAACAAGTTGGGTGCACTTTACCACATGTGTATGTGGGTGATCGATTGTTAGTTCAAATCCTTTAAGAAAAGATTAACCAATCAAAAAAACTAAAAATATTCAACATATTTTATATTTCTTTTACTCAGTCATTATTACAGACCTTCCTTATTTCTCTCTCCCAAAACTGCTGTGCAGATGCTAAAAATCACACAAAGTATGTAGCATGTTTCCCTTGAAGTTACATTATCTCCAAAGGTGCTTACACTCTGACCTAGAGGGTACCAATAAGACCTGAAAACCACTGACAAACCAAAAACCTATAAACATAAAACACTTTTTTTAGGTACAACAGAACATAATATATGGTTGGAAGAACCAAGTCACTCACAAGTCACTCAAATGATGACTACCTTCTAAAACCTAACCTAAAGCCAGGTGTGGTGGTACATGCCTGTAATCCCAGCACTCAGGAGACCAAGGCATGAGGATCACTGCAAATCTGAGGCCAGTCTAGGCTACACAGTGAGTTCATGGCAAGTCTAAACGACAGAAGGAGGCCCTGTCTTAAAAACCCAAAAAAAGAGTAAGAAAACAAAACCCTACTTTCATACTTGTTATGCATTATCAGAGTTGTCCATGCAACCACTATAGCTTGAGTTCTTCCACTTCCCCTCTGCTATGCTAACCAACCACTGCTTACCAATTTTAAAAGCAAGTGCTGTTAACTAAATACAATGACTAGGGCCAGGAATTTAGCTTAGTGGTTCCGCCGCCTGCCTCAAAAGCACAAGGTCCCAAGTTCCATCCCCAGTATCAAAAAATAAAATAAAATAAAAATTTAAAAAAATTAACACAGTGACTAAAAGACCAGAGCAATCCATGGAAAGAAATGCTTTTTTAGATGGTTTTGCTATTATTTATCAGGTTAAAAATTGTCAAATCTCAAAAAAGGTAAATCATGAACCATAGAATGGAAAATCAAAAACAAAAAGCCTTGGGCTGAGGATTGCTCAGTGGTTCCGCCACCTGCCTCGCAAGTACAAGGTCCTGAGTTTGATCCCTGGTACCAAAAAACAAAAAACAAAAAAACCTTGTAATTGCTTTTTCAAAGGACAACATACACCTACATCCTCTCTATGGTATAAGCCAAAGTTAAACTCTGACCCCTACAAACTCTAATCCAGAAACAGACACTATGCAAAAATGTTCCCAAGGGATTTTCTTCCTATTTCCTGTTTCAATGTTTAATGCTTTAAAGCAGATAAACTTACCCAAAGTCTGCAAAATTATGCTTTCTAAAATCACCAGATCTTGAACTTGTTGCAGGTAAGCCTATAGGCAAGAAGAGAGAGAAATCATTTGCTAAAAAAAGATAATACCACATTCCCCCGAAAATAATACCTATCCAGAAAATAAGCCCTAGCATGATTTTCCAGGAAGCTCATAAGCCCTACCCCAAAAATAAGCCCCAGTTAAGATTGTCAGCCAGATAGATGCATTTCATACATCTGTTGCAACACACAAAGACAATGAATTATAAAATACTATAATTAAATATAATATTGTTGACATTAATACTTAAAATAAATGGTAATATAAATTGTAATTAACTATTTATAAATACCCAAGTGGACACCTTTGGAGGAGAGGTAAACGCCCATATAAACAGATGAACACTTACTGCCAAATGACCAATCAAATATAAACACAATACACAAACATGTGCACTTGATAATGAACAGATGTGATTGTGTGTCTAATATGAATGTTCATAATTCAATGTGTGTTGTAACGATGCACTACGAGCAGACTACATGGACAAGAAGTGCTCATTTAAGGACAGTTCTACTTTTGGACATGAGAGATTGGAGACCAGTTTCCACAGGAAATAGAACCACAGGAAATTTGGACAGAATTCAGGGTTTGGAAAGCTATGATTATGTTCCAGAAGATGACACGAATGTGTTAGAATAAGTGTAGATTGTTGTACCTGAAAAAATTAAGACATTCCCTGAAAATAAGCCCTATTGCATCTTTTGGAGAAAAAAAAATATTCAGTTTTTTTGAGGCAGGGCCTCTCACTCTGTAGTACAGGCTGGCCTTGAGCTCCCGGCAATCTTCCTACCTCAGCCTCCTGAATGCTAGGATCACAGGTGTGCACTATCACACTCAGCTTGAAGCAAATATTAATATAAGACCTGGTCTTATTTTCAGGGAAAATATAAAATATAAATAAGGAAAAAATATGTATATAAATAAGGGCCAGGAATATAGTTCAGTGGCAGGGTACTTGCTTAGAAAAAAAAAAAGCGACCAATTCTAACAACCTCTCCCTGGGAAACCAAAACAATGAAAGGCAAAGACGGAGTGGGAGATAGAGTAGAAATTGAAACATAAGCGTTATTTTTAACCCGAATGATTATAGACTTACTTTTTTAAAAAAATGTAACTCAGAAATAACGTTTTATTCATAGTCAGCTACCAAAAAAGAACCAGATGCTTCATTTTCATATTTATTGATATTTTAAATTTTAGAATTCCCATGATTTAGACATAAGAAATTAACAAAACTTTTTCCAACAACCAGAGAAATACATATACAAAACCTTCCCTGCAGTATTAAAAGCATTTGATACCAAATAGTTGACTCCTATTGATAGACTTTTTAAAACTGTAACAACACAAAGGAAAATAAAATAAACAAAAAAATTCAGATTTGTGTAAGCCCAAACTAAAGGCCCTAACTCAGTAGTAGGGAACCTATGGCACACATGCCACAGTGGGCTGTTTGTATCATTGAAAGCTCTAAAAGGTTCACCCGTATGTGGCTACTGAGAACATGAAACACACCTAGTCTAAATTGTAAAATAATCACTGAGTTTCTTTAAGCACTAGAGTTTAAAAGACTACGTTAAAAAATGTAAAATACCTCATTAATAACTTTTAAATATTAATTATACGCTAAAACGATAATATTTTAGATATACTGAGTTACATAAAAATACACTTTTTTTTGGTACCAGTGATCGAACTCAGGACCTTGCGATTGCAAGGCAGGTGCCGGAACCACTGAACTAAATCCCCAGCCCCATAAAATACATTCTTAAAATTAATTTTCTCTAAAAAATGAGGAATAGCAGGGCACAGTGACATACGTCTGTAATCCCAGAACTTATGAGGCTGAGGCAGGAGGATCGCCATGAGTTCAAGGCCAGCCTAGGCTACAGAGTTCAAGGCCAGACTGAAATACATAGTGAAACCCTGTCTCCAAAAAAAAAAAA